CAGCAGGACTAGGGATAGGCAGCGTTCTGCATTTAGAGTGTGTCTCTGAATACTGTGACCCAGTTGTAGCTCTGCTTAATTAATCTCATTGTGAACACAATAGGCATTACGTAACAAATTTGTGATGGCAATAATGAGTCCATTAATGGACATGCAAAGGCTCTTTCCTCTTATTTTTGCAATTATCCTTGTTTTTCAGTGGACTGTGATGGACTCTACAAAATGCACTATGAGAACGCCAGACGAAGGTTCTCATTCTTTCCTACTATGTTCTCTAGAGAAAAGGAAGTGTGGTTTGGCAGCCACGTCTTCCAGATTAATTCCTTCGTTATTTGCGTGGCCTATCTGCAAAATGATTACTCCTCCCAGAGTCAACATAGCCAAGAGCTTTTCCATATGACATGATCAATATTCTCTCTACTGTCCAGGACAATGAGCAACCAGATGACAGATGTCACAGGGGAGTAATGAAAGTTTCTTCATTATTCCTTCTACCACTCCAGCATTTTCTTTCTGCTTAAGGGCATAGACATGTGTTCCTTTCAGTCTTTCCAACATCTTCTAGGCTAGAAGCTCCTACTCAGTCAACAGTGTTGAAGCTTCTGGTCCAACCAACTTCTGGGTTTCACACATCATGCAAAACCTTAATGAGGTCTGCTCTGTTTCAATTCAGTATATCTGAACCTAACCATTATTGTTGGTTTATGGCTTATCTTTACAAATGAAGCAGCCCACTGTGGTTTATTCAAGAAAGCATAATAACATCATGTATTTAGCCATTGGGAATATACGCACTCATGTCGCTGAGCACCACTCTTTGTAATAATGTTCTAAAGAACCTATGCATATTCAATGGCTGCATAGCATCTATCTGAGCATTTCAGGAAATTTTGAAGAGGCTGAACCCCCAGTCACATCTGGGTAGATATTTTCATTCATGACACTGAACATACGGGAAGGAGGAGAAATGGGGCTACAATGAGCAAAATCCTGTTTTTCCTTGTATTTGTCTTCTAACACAAGATCTGCACATGTTTGCCATATTGAATATTATCAAGGGCAATTGCAATAAAGTTTTAGCATCTGTGTGCCATATAATTTTGCTGTTGAGCTCTGAAGAAGCTATATTTTTTTGTACTAAGCAAAAATTCAGCTCCAGGCATAATTGCAAATTATGTCTAATTGCAATTCAATTCAATGAAGGATGAATAAAGTATGCAAATTAGAGATCTTATCTAATTTACTATCATTTTAATACTGCCTGTCTTCAGAATGAGGCAAAAGCCAAAAGGAAAGGTTACAAGAAATAACATACTTTTTTTTTTTTTTTTACTGCTACAGAAAAGAGAAAATGAAGGAAATTGTGACACACAGCTGATGAGAACTATTGAGGTACCTACTAGGAAAATATTCGAATTGGGTCCTGAAGACTTCTGGGTCTTATTTTTATCTTGGTTGCTTTCCTACTTAGGGCTTGTTAACAGTGTCAAAATCCTGTTTTTCTACAGGCATCTAGAAGTAAAATTCAAGATTTACCTAGAACACAAGACGGGGTATCAATGTCCTCACGTCTCACTCGGTTCCTATATCTATCACAAACGTGTGGACGTGGTTTGCAACTTTCTCCCAGGATGTTTTCTGGGCAAGTCTCCAGTAGCAAAAGTTCCTTGCAACACTTACTGGCAGGTTCACACGTACTAAGTATGGGCTTGTCAAACTATTAGTTACCGAATAAACCACAATGGATGGATTCATACAACTTACCAAACCAGAAAGAAGCAAAGCAGAAGTGTGGTGTGTGAAGCCAGTCATTCTGCATAATTTCAACCCCGAATGACATTCTTTTCCTTATGGGGCAGCATTACTGATGATATACTGTATCTCTTAATTACTTAATAACTAAGCAGTTCCTGTTTTCTAAAAGAAGGGTTTCCTCTCATTTCTCCCCTTTTCTTTCAAATTAGAAGGAACCAGTTATTGAAAAACTACCTCCAGGTGGGGGACAGGATCTAAATAATTATTCTGCAATGAAAAATAAATATATTGTTAATGTTGGGTTTTACTGAACCAAACAAATAGACAAAAAGGTTATTCAAAGCAGAACTATTCTTTACACAAGCAGAAGCTTTCAGAGAAAACCTTGAAAAATCTCAGATGTTCAGTGCTGGTCTATTTATAACTGCACCTTAAGTGGGGACAAAATGCCATAGTTTTGTTTTGAAGAAATAAGAAGGGAAATCAACTCTGAAAACTCGGAAACGCAAAGGACTGAAAGAAGTGGGCTTTTGGAAATATCCCCCACACACACACACACACACACACCGCAATTTTGCCCATTAGAGAGAATTATATATTTCCACCCAGCGCTGATTCCTTCTGCACATGCATTATTTTAAAAAGTCTTAGAGCAGGCTCTTCCATTGTGAAATAAAGAGGCTGAATATCAAATATTTTCTCATCTAGAGAACACTCAGCATCAAAGTTATAGATGGCCATTTTGACCAATTAAGGCATAACTGAAGTGAAATTCCTGTAACACTCTTTCGATTCATGAAGACAGTCTTTGATGCAGGGGGAGCAACCGAACTTAATTTGCATTTTGGTTTACTTGTCCTTGTCCTCATCCACCCACCCCCGTTAAAATAACGAGAAATATAACAAACTATTCTCTCTCTACTTGGTTGGCAAAAATGTGCATGTTGTTTTACTCTCTTGAGAATGTTCTGTACTTTCTGCTTTGTAGGAAGGATGTTCCTAAAACAACACATCTAATTTGTTCCATAAAGATTTGTCAGCTCTTTTCCTTGAAAGCTAAAAATAAGCCACCCAACCAGCTGTTAATCCATGCCTGATTGTTAAAACATGTATGTTGTCCTTTTTTCAACTGAACCCTTAACACTTTTTTTCTGATTGCCATCACTTTCAGGAGCTGTTCCTTGAATTCCAGTCCTTTGCTGTTTGTTTCCTTGTTGTTGACTGACCTTCTCCATTTCTGCATCAGGGACAGCCCAGTGCAGTTACCATAGAAACCATTGAGTTAACCCATCCTAGCACACATCACAACTAGATTCAGATAAGTCCTAAAAATGAAAAACATAAACACAAACCAACCAGAACTCTAAGGATACAAGTCTGGTTAATGGTAAAGAAATGCTGGTGAGCAGTTTAGAACTGGACACTGAGGCCCATTTCAGATATTTTTGGGAATTGCAATCCCCAAATAACTAGAAAACACCAGATTGGAGAACTGTTGCTCTAATCTAAGCTTCCTCTCTCTCACATACACGAATCTTATTATGCCTGACAGAAAACTTACAGGGGACAATCTGAATTCCAGTGGAAACTTCCTTCAACTAACTTTTAGAGCAGGGTTTCTCAACCTTGGTGACTTTGAGATGCATGGACTTCAACGCCCAGAATTCCCCACCAGCATGCTGGCTGGGGAATTCTGGGAGTTAAAGTCCACACGTCTTAAAGTCACCAAGGTTGAGAAACCCTGCTTTAGAGGAAGGAGAAGATTGTGGCTATAACTAGATTACTGTATTTCAGGTTCTGCCCTTCTTTGTGTTGGGGGTTGTATACATGTGAGCATTGATTAGTGAAGTAGGTTTTCTACCTGTAACAGGAGATTCATTTACAGGATATATAGTGTAGGAACGGACAAAGCCTAGCACCTAGCTAACTACATCCTACCAGAAGGGCAGTTAGAGAGCATGTACTCCATACATATCTGCCTGGGAAGAAACCAGTTTCTTAGACAAAGATCAGACAGAGGGATGGAAAGAAGGGACATGGAATAATCCATAAATCTTTATCTATACCTTATTGAGCCTTTGTGGTCAGTAGGCAATGAGGAACCAAAGAGTTAGTGCCATTGAACTCACGCATATTTTAACACTTTGAAGGAGGGAAGGTCTTAAGTGAGACAAGCTTTTGGCTTGGCCCTAGCCCTTCTCTTTTCCACCAGATATCTTCAAATATCTGGTTAGCCTTGATTGGATGACCTGGAAAAATAAATCCATGGTGAATGGATGGGAACCCAACTTGCTGTTCCGAGCATGAATCTTGGCATATGAGCCTTTAACATCTTACACCGTGGGTAGAAAGCCAGTCAGCAACATGTCTAGTTCTCAGTGAAGTTTAGTGATTTTCGACAGCATGGCGGTTCAGTGACTTACCACATACTGCATATTCATGAATAAGCCCATCCGCAGACAAGCTGACCCTCAAATTTTTAACCAAGATATCTTAAAAAATACATCACCCACTGATAAGCCAACCTGCATTTTTCATGTACTGGAAATGTGAGTACTTTTTAAAAGTATTACCATATATACTTGTAAATAAGCCCCTCTGTAGATAAGCTGAATCCACTTTTTGGGGTGCATTTTGGCACCTAAAATTCTTGGCTTATCTGCCAGTATATATGGTAATACATCTCCAGGCCGATCCATTAAATTGCTGTCACCTAGAAATCTAGCAATTAGGGAATTTTTATGCATTATTCTTTACTCTGAAATGCTAGTTTTTTTTCTGTGCAGATGATGATGATGATGATGATGATGATTGTCACAGAGTCAGCCAGATGTTTAGAGTAGATTTGACATTTTTATCCACCTATCAAGTCCTTCCCAAGGACCTAGGTTGATGGTGTTAAAGGTATCATCTCCAGATATGAGCTGTTCCAAGTAAAGCTGCCTTTTGCAATTGACTGATGGTGATTTTATTATTTTATATTATTATTATTATTAATCCAATTAACAAAAAACTATTTTTAATTAGCCAACAACAGCAGTTATATCATGGGAAAAAAGTAGATTTTGATGTTTTTCCAAAAGAACACTATACTTCACAAAAGTTCACGTCAGATCAGTTTAATGTTTACTGAGGGCATAGACTCAACATCTGGAAACTGGAGATCATGATTAATCTTGAGAAACAAATGTATTTTGATCAGATCAAGAGTTTCCAAAGTACAGTTTTACTGGAACAATCCCAATTTAAGAAGAATCTGATAAATCTACAGAACTCTCATCCGGTTCTTTGTCAGCCTTTATGTAGAGACAGCTGGGATTTTGATGGGTAGTGACCAAGACTGATTCATGGATGCTTTGGGCGATATAGTCCAGATTCCTGGAGTTAATACTGCAGATGTTGATCTGTCCATTTGCAAGAAAATAGATGTGTTTGTGCTTCTCTAGGAACTCCACTTGGGAAGCTGGCAGGGAAAGAGCAATGCTTTTCACTTTGACATATCACCAGCGGAGAAGAAAAGACATAAATGCAGCATAAATAGGAACAATGTGTGCATCTGCTTTGCATGAATGGCTGTGGGTTTTATGCCGGAAGACTGGCATATATCTAGGAAAACTCCTTTCCACTGTTTAATGTAGGAAGAGGCACTGTGATCCCAGGGGGCAATTTTTCAGCCACATCGCAAGCTCTCTCCAGCCACAGCTGCCAAAACCAGCCAGATCTTCCCAACATTCAGAGGCAGGCAAACACAAGAAAACTAGTGAAGACCCTGTAATGGGTATAACATGCTTTCTAGAAAGACCTCCCTTCTTCCTATCTATCTATCTATCTATCTATCTATCTATCTATCTATCTATCTATCTATCACTTGGCACTGCTACCCAAAGTGCCAAGTGACAGCAACATCGGGAAGAAGGAGCATGAGAAGTTGGAGAAGTACCAGGGCCTGAAGGAGGAAATAGAGAGG